GAACTACAATGGAGACTGCAGGTAGAATATCTCTTCATAGAATCCCTTCAGAAACATTGCTTACTACCAAGACGCCAGCTCTCCCAGAATTGAGGGAGTATTCAGTGGCTCCGGTCAGGGATATGGATGTCGCTGAATTGCTTGGTTCGTTGAAGCAAGATGCAGGTAAGTTTTTCCTGGCTTCCTGCTATCCCAGACCCGGCAAAGATGCAAGCAACGGAACCTTTGAAAACAGCATCCTTATGTGCTGGCACCTAGCAGGGCACTTCTTTGTTGTTAGCCGCGGGGATCTGATCTCAATCCTTCTTGCGGTGTCTGGGGATGGCACGAGCGGTTTAAGTTCATAGGGGCGAGCTTTCTTGTAGCTGTCACATTGCAACTACAACCCTGCAAGAAAAAGCGCAAAGAAATGAAATCATGCTTCCGTTTCTTTCACTTCTTTCTTCCACTTCATTACATTTCATTTTGGGGGGCTTTTACCTACAGCATAAAGATGGTCCTTATGTTGCGTTTAATTTAATAAAACACANNAAAGAAGGAACGGATGCGTGGTTTTAATAAATAAAAAAGAAGCACACGGGGAAAGAAGGGAATGAAGAACACATAAACGACCAATTACTATGCACTTTACTCACCTCTTTTGCTCTCATTTGTTTTATTGTTCGTTCTTTTCGCTTCGTTCACTTCATTCACTCTTTCATGCTGTAGGAAAAAAGGGCGAGAGAATGATGAATGAAAGAAGCCACAGAAAGATAGGAAGCATGAACCCTATGAAATGACTTAGGAAATTAGTTGGCATCCTGTGAGAAATGCTAGTTACATCCTAATGCCTAATGGTATATCTCTATCATTAGACATGACCTACCAGATCTCATTAAATACCAACTAGGAATATAAGTCGTGCAAGGATGCTAATTCTTAACTTAGTTACAGTCATATGAGAGAAAGATGTCATTATATCTAAGCTATGGTTTACCACTGGAAAGTACCTAGATTTCCTCCAACTTTCAAATGGACAAGTTCTCCTAGAAGCTAATTGTTCCAGGGAATCACATGATTGTAGAGCACATTATGAGGGGAACAATGTATTCTCTAGGTCATCTTATCATCTGGGAAATCGCCGATTATCTAGTTACATCTCTATCTACCTCTCATTTCCTTTGTTCGTGTGCTTTGCAAGGTATCCAAACCTCTCCAACACCCCAAACCCCGCAAATTTCGGCCAGCGGGCCCGGCAAGTGAAGGTCGCAGGGCTCAGTGAGCCGGCAGTGCAGAGAAGCGACGACTCCGAGGGCAAATATCCACTTTGACCTCCGTCGAAGAGCAAGTGGGGTGCGCAGGATTACATCGTACGGAGCGGGTACTTTCGAAAGCAAGAAAAGTGGACTCTATTCCAGGAGGTAGCGCATCCTCTCCGTTTGCCTTCGGTTGGTCTTTCTACGTAGGAGCTTGGGCTCAGGGGTTTAGGGCCCCATCCACCCGAAACCCAAAGGTCCCTGCATCCTGTGAGCGAAGTCCGATTTCTGGTTCAAGGCTTGCTTTATCTGCATGATGCCCTGGCTACGGTTTTTCCCCATAGCCCTAAACCATACGGTTGGGGCTTCGGGTTAGGGCTCAGGGCGTTGGATGCAACACCTCATATCACATAAAGGATCGGGGCCTACAAATCCCCCGAAACGGACTCCAAACTCCGCAGGCCTTGAACGAACTGGCCGTTCGAGACCCGAGAGGTTAAAGGCTTCGGATTCCATGGGCCCAAATCCAAGACCCAACGCCCCAGACCCCGCAATCAATCCACTGTCCCACAACCACAGCTTGGTGCAGAAAACAGCGCAAAACTCCAACTTAGTTTAAAACCCCAAAGCCCCATAAACCCCTAAGAGAGCCCGTTGAAGGAACCCTAATTATAAGTAACTCTTAGAGGCAACTTCCCTCGTGCGTCCACGGGGCATTTTGGCGTACATCTCTGCCCGTGTGTGAGAGTGTTACCCTGGCAGAAACGAGAATCACACGCTCTCCCCGCAACGGGTCCTAGTTTTTGAGGAATACTCACCTAAGCCATCGTACTATAGTCTACGTTCTTTTTAGGGCACTTCGGGTCCCGACAACAGCACCAGTCGGTTTAGGGTTCAGGATTGACCTCATCCTCATGCTATCCGATGCATCATGCATTGAAACCTATGCCATCATGGCGGAGCCCGGAGAAACAGCAAGCCTAAGTTGCACAAAGGGTATCGAGGACTAGGCAAACCCACAAGGTTTTGAAGTTCTAGCTTGCCTAAGCGGCTGGAAAGCGTGTAATGTTCTTGAGGCATGCAGAGTAGGTAGCCGCAAAACCCTGATTCCCGCTCCTCGAAACTAGTAACCAAACAATATCGAACAAGTTAAAGCAGTAATCCGCAGATGCTGAGAACACTTAACCAAAACCCTGACATGTAATGCCAAACCTTTACAAAAAGAAACAACATAGAACACCCCTCAACTTATGAAGCCCTTCCAAAATGTGTATAGCCGTTCATGTTGTACCCCCCTAAACCCCACATGTATCCCCTACGCCTCGGCGCAGGTTGGGTTCATGGAGTTGGCCACGTAGGGCATGTCACCTCCATATGCTCATGGGGGCTTCTGCGGTCTAGGGTTGAGGATTTAGGGTCTGGCTTTTGAGCTCAGGGTATGAAGATTGGAATCAAAGCTTAGGGTTGAGGATTTAGGGTTTGGGTTTTGGACTCAGGGTTTCAACATGGTTTGGAATCATGGCTTAGGGTTGAGAATTCTCTTCTTGTACTGGGGATGAGGAACTTAGCTTCACCTCCCATCGTTTTAATACAGTAGGAACACACAGTCGTAGATCCTATGCTGTCCTCACCAACGTATTCGACGCACGACTTCCGTCGCCCAACGAAGCCCCGAGCCGAAGGACCCGAACTTCAAGGACCTCAATGATTCGACCAAGGTTTCTGCAAGGCTTCCCTTGTAGGGTTTAGGGTTTAGGGTAGACCAGTATATGAAGGAGTCTACATAGGGGGTGCTATGCAGAGTCATTATGCAGGTGGGATATAGGATTCCTAAAAAACTAAGAAGCGTTTCGGGGTACAGTATCTGCTAGACCCGAAACTCCAAACCAAAGAATCTCCCAGAGATATCCCCCTACCGCCCCAACCTATATACTCTCACCCAGATCCCAGACTAATCCGAAAACCGAACCCTTCAAACAGGCTCAGCCTCGACCCATACTAGGATTTCAGAGTTGTTTCCCCAAGGATGTGGAAGTTTAGGGTTTACTGTTTGTTTGTTTTGGGGGGGGCCGGTTCTAGTCCACAGGTCCCCCAAGGACTCCTACTTCCATCCGTCGTTGACGGGTCGGACAACATCTCAAACCCTGGACCTAAATCCCAACACCCAGACCCGAAAATTTAACCCCCAAAGCCTAAAGCAGTAAACCCCAGTGAAAGGGAATTACACGAAAGCCTGAATCCTGTAAAGGCTTCTCTTCTCAGCGATCAGACACGGCAGAGGAGTCCAAACAACCTAAACCCCCCGCATGTACAGGATGCAAAACCCTGCCCCCTGCTTATAGAAAGGAACTACAAGGGCACGAATAGTTCGAACAGGTTTTGTTGGTATGCTTTATTAACATTACAATCAGAACCCTGCAGAATAGTATTGGAAGAAATTAGACTCTTCTAGATAATCCCATAGCGCACTCTGAAAGCAAACGTTTGGACAAGCCACAGGAGTCGGCTTGGCACGCGAAGGTCGCCGGGTCGAGAACTCCACGGCGACAGGCCTCAGTTTTGCGTGCCTTTTGCGAGTTCCCTCAAAAGTCTAGGGCCTCTAGGGTTTAGCAGGTTTAGGGTTTGGGTCGCTAGAAGGGTTCGCAGAAGAGCTCCTCTTGGGCCTAAGAAGGGCCCCTAGTGTAAGAACTCCCCTACAGTAACCTCCCACATCCAAGAAGCCAGGGAGGTGCGGGATGGACTGTATCCAGCCTGGCCACGGAGCATTCTGCAGCGTCACAGGAGTCAGAGTTGGGGTGCGGGGTGCCCCCAAACCCTAAATCTATTATTGTGGCAGGAGCCCAGGAAAATTCCAGAAGGTTTAGCATTTTATGTAACATTTTTCTGGGACTGAGGGGCGGGGGTCGATTAGGGTTGGGTCTTGCGCGCTTAAGGTTCAGCTTTTAAGGTCTGAGGATCATGGGTTCTGGTTGAGTTTTCAACAATGAGTAAAAGCAGTAGTTGTAGTGGTGGTGGCAGTAACAGCAAAGACAAACAGGGCGGTTGCATCTATCTCTGCTGGGGATAACGATGTCCTATACGCCAAGGGCCGGATAACCCAAACAACGGAACTACTTTGGAGAGCTTCGGTTACACCAAGCTTGCAAGAAGCCACAGTTAGCGGAGCACCCAAAAGCCATGGTATGGTCTCGCCTCGCAACGCGGGGTGCACGTTCTCCCACCGTTGATCTTCGCACCCTCCTGGTAGCTTGGGATTCTTGAAACGAGGATTCACCGATTGAGTACATTGAAGCGTCTTTAATCATGGGGATCCGAATCCTGATCCTATTTACTGCTGTTTAGGGTTTATGATTTTGGCGGTTACCAGCAACGATGAATGCGGGCTGCTTGGGCCCTGAACTGTACATCCTGGGCCGTCGCTGGGTTTTCACCGTCTGAACACTCCGGTGTTTGCTCTGGCAACCGCTGCAGCCACACAAATGGTGACCCGAGGCCCGCAACCATAGAACTATAACTCCTTCAACGTTCTGGACTCCCCTCCCCTTCGCCAAAATCCAAAACCTGAAACCCCTCAACCCAGAAGCCCAACGCCCTAAACTCCAAGCCCAAAGCAGTAGCCCCAGATCCCCGCGTTCTTTGGCTCCTGACAGCCAACCTGGGGAGCATTCGCCACACCTGTGGAGGCTTTGACTTTAAACAGAGTTTCAAAGGTCTCTCGTAGATTTTTGGATAGTTCTGAAACCTACGGTTTGGGTGATACATCTATGTATTTGTATATGTAAATACTGTATATATGTACGTACGAACTTATGTATGTCATCGCGCGTGGAGTTTGGAGTTATGCTGTGGTCGGGGGTTTCTACAACTTTCGAGTGCTGCTAGGGTTTGAATTTGGGCTGAGAGTGTTGGTAACACTCTCAGGGTTCAGTTTTTCAGGGGTTTTTGCTCACGTGTAAGGCTTCTCTTGTCATAATCTGCCTCTCTGGGTCAAGGTCCAGGCGGATTCCAAACTAATGCACATCAGGCCCGACAGTTGTGTTGGGAATTGTCTGTGAAAATGCTGCTTGCTGACCAGGCCTCTGTATTAGGGGCTGTTCAGTCTAGCGTGAATTCACAATGCTCAACCCTTAGCTGTCCTGTCACTGCATCGCAGTCATCCTCCGTGCAGATGAAGCCCGGCGGTGACAGCCTGGTCTTGCAGCAAAGGCGTCTCAGATTTAAGTGCGAGTTTTGAGTGACCTCTGGAAGTGGTGTGGGGCTCTAGCCTGCGAGAAGAAGCAGAGGTCAGCAGATCTTCGTGGACTTGAATTCACCGTACTCTGCCCTCCTACCCAACACCCCGTACTTTACCCCCACTCTCCGAGCAGCGTCCCAGCAAAGCATTCGAGCTTCGCCTAGGCATCGGGTCTGGGGTTTGGGATTTAAAGGTAGAGCGGCTTTAGCTCTAGTTGTGGTTACGGAAGTAGATGCCTTTGCCTAATTGCTAGTTCCCGTGGTGACGTACAGTCAAGATTCGGCTTCAGCTTAGGTTACTGCAAGTGTGCAAGGTAAGAGTGCATCGCCTGGGATTGCTCAAGAGCTCTTGGTCGCGAGACCCTGGTGCCGGGTTTACGGCTTTGGCTTTGGTGCTTGGGGTTTCGAGCTATGGAAACTTGTAGGTTCTGCACTGAATGCACTATGTGGCCAGTTCTCTAAGTTAGGGTCCCTATGAGGATCCTTTTTATAAGGCTCAACAGGGACCCAATTTAGAGAACTAGCCATGTATGCATGTACAGGCAAGTTTCTTCAAGCTGGCTTGTAGTGGGGCCTGTGGCTTCAATGGAGAGGGCATATGGAATAATTCTTGCATCGACAGACTGCATCGTACAATGGGTGCGTTCGCGAAGCTTCGTGATTCAAAGTCTCGGGGCGGGGTATCCTAAGTCTTTTCCAAGTCACCACGGATGGACTGTAGCCCCTGTCGCAAATCGTGCTGCACTCGGCACCACTCGCCTGGGCTCAGGACACAACTGCGCAATCTTGCTTGGAGATGTTGCTATGCCCAAAAAGCAAATACTGATTGTTTGAATGATAAGAAGTGGAGGACGATTCAAGCGATGATGTGGTCGTCGTCGTTCTGCAACCCGTTGCCAAACTACCACTCGCACCCTGGCATTCTAGCAGTGTTGCTTGCAGATGAAAACTCTAGGAACCCTAGACCCGCAGCCCTGAATCCGGAACCGCTGCATCAGAAATCTGCACCCCCGAACCCGTTGGGGCTTAAACAACCTTTGAAAGGAAGGGTCTTACACAGTGTCTTGGATGTGACTATGGGAGTTCACGGTAGTCCTTGATCGGGGGTCCAAACATTAACATCCACAGCTAAGCCCTTGCAAGTCCTTAACCCCCCAGATGAAACGGTTCAATTTACACCCCTCCAAAACACTAGAAATTATATACCCTTCAACCAGATAGCCCGAATATGCCAGGTTCGTGGACGTATGACTGCCATACGGGTGATGCAGTAACACTTCTACATCTCTATCTGCACATATATGTACCTATCCATGAAGCTGTCGATTCTCCGGTATGCGAAAATTCAATAATATATTCGTTTACGTAGCAAAGATAGATAGACAGAAAGATAGATCGATAGTTATACCGATAGATAGATCGACAGATAGATCGATCGATAGACCGATAGATAGATAGATCGATAGATAGACGAATAGGTTGGAAATACATAGGCAGATAGACATAATAACTAGCTAATATGTAGACAAACATGTAAACAGATGGGTGGTCATACACAACACACTCACATATATATATATATATATACATACATATATATATATATACATATTTGTTTCTTATCCTTTGTTGAGTGCTATACATGTACCTGTGTGAGCCATGTCTAACCCTTTCCTCCGCTCGAGTCTCCGTTGTCCTTCGTTTTCGGGTTAGTGACTTTAAGGGTGCAGATCATGTAATGCCAAACAGCAGCTCCATCCTCAGACTACAAAGGCCAAGGGAAAAAAAAACAACGAAGTAAGATGGACTCACAAGTACGTGGAGTTGAATCCCTCCAAGCATGTCTACCAGGTGGCGAGGACGGTACCAACAATGCCTCGACAGCCGTTGCCTTGCTCGTCGGTGCTTTAGGGGTGGAGGGTCTTCCGGTTCTTAGGGTCTTCGGGTTTCTCAAGTTTTCGCAGACTAAAGCGGTTTGTTGTGCTTTCGGGCCTTCTTGGAGGCTGTTTTCGAGTTAATAAGCTTACCTTCTACTCGCCATAAGCCCTGAAACAGTGGTCCATTTTTATATTCCTACTTGCTAGGTTTAAAGACTGATACCCTCTGATAGATCTAGTCCGGCGCCGTGACCATCACAGGTTGCCAGTTTCAGGTCGAGTCTAGAGGTTTGAGTTTTTTCAGGTTCGGGACTGTACTGTGGCCTTTTTGAGATCGGATCTAGGACTTGGAACTTTAGGGTTTTAGGGTCTACTTTCTTCGGCCGACGAAGAGCCGCCAGCTTCTCCCACACCCGAAGCCCGACACCAATCTGCAAAAGACCCCAAAACTCCCTGCCAAGGTGGTTAATTAGTTTGAAATACTTCGCATGAAGGCCTTGGAAGGATTCGGTAACGTCTTACTAGTATGAGCTTGCATCAAAGTCTTACAGGGCGTTAGCACCAGGTCAACGAATGTGACCATGACCATGAAGGCATATAGCCACAAGCATACCCCAGGTACCATGGTAGCTTGATAGCTTCCTGAACAAGAGCCCCCATAAAGGCTGGGCCAAATCCACATAGGAAGGGAGCAGAAGTTTTTGAGTCGAGGAAAGAAGGGTTGGTTGTGGCACTTTACTGGCCAGGCGGCGTAGGCAATACTTACACTACGACATAGTATCAGACAAGTGCAGTTCTACCCCTAAACCCTAAACCCTGATAAAAGGTGTTGATGATTTCCTGTTTCAGAGGCTGGTGCCAAATTGGGGTCCTCGAAAACTCGAATCGAAGGGGTAGCCCACAGCCCTCTTGCGCCAGGATTCGTAAAGGACCCTGAAGAACAAGTCCAGAAGTCTGTGAGGCTTGGGCTCCCTACTCTAGAAAAGTATAACAAAAACTAGCAAGCCCCACTTTATAGGTATTATGCCCCTATATGGTCTTTCAGGGCCATCAGGCAGCCGTTGAAGCTTGCTTAGAACAACCATGATACTAACCAGGATCTTAGAAGCCCTTAAAGGACACGGTTCTTCCTGCAATATCCGACAGGCCTCTGGCATTCGTCACTGTGGGCAGTGGGCAAGCGTTCGGGGTGCACTCAAAGGAGGCAGGAGTAAGCACCTCAGTTGGTTCTCATATGAGCAGGTGCAAGGCTTCTGTCAGTGTGGCTAAAAGCCCAAAAGGCCGTGCTTCGCCATGAAGGCTCGGAGTTTTTAGGTATGCAATACCACCTGTTGCTCGAAAAGGGCTACAGCACTCACCCCTCACAGAAGGTTTAGGGTGTCGGACTTGGGGGACATGGCTTTCGTGTGCGTCATCCAAGGCACCCGACACCCTAACGCGCCAACGACTCCTCGAAAACCTACACCCCCAACACCATAACCCCGGTCCTTAAACCCCAAAGCCCCTAACCACAAGAACCCCATAACCCCCGGTCCTTTAACCCCAAAGCCCCTAAACCCTAAGACCCGGGACCCAGAACTTCGCTCCTGCGGGTTAGACTGGGATCTTTCTACTGAGTTCTATGCCACCTACCAGACCTAGCAGACCTACCAGAACGCAGAACGCATGCTCGTTTGGCATATGTCTGATGTGATGCCTCCATTTCAACTCGATGGCTTAGACCGTTAAGCCGGAGCCTCAATCAGCACCCCAGACTCCACCAGGAGAACACTTCAAACTCCACAACCAAGCCTCCACCCAAAACCTCGGCCAAAGGAGCACTCAAGTCTTGACAAGCCTACCCTGCCTTGCTTGGATTGGAAGGCCCCCCCGCCTCAAATTCCATAATATGATCCCTCCGGGTATCCTCAACTTTGCTGAAGCCACGTTTGCTGCATCCCTTGCGCTTCCCCTGATTCCTTACCCTAAACCCTAAACCCTCTCATTGTGGCCTCCGCCGTGCAGGTGAGCTGGTTCACCGAAGCGGTGTACCCTCCGATGCACTGGGTCTGGCAGACGGTGCCTGTTTTGGGCAGGTTTCCGGTTTTGGCTTCATGTAAGAGCGAGTCTAGGGATTCGGGTACGGTCTCGGATGCTCGCGGCGTTTAGGATTGGGATATACTGGGCTTCGCATTCAAGGCTTCAGTGATATGACTCATCGCCAATCTTGTGACCAGGACAAAAACATCAGAAACAAATTCTGTGCAGAAACCGCAGGGGGCTACATCAGAGCTTTAGAATAGGGTTTGGGGTGTAGTGTGCTTGTGTACATATATATATATATATATATTCAATTTCGAATTATGTATACATCGAAAATATTTTGCTATTGTTCTTTTTATGATGAGGGACCCTTACTTTGAGGGCACGAAGACTATAACGTTCCAACTTTAATCCCCTAAACCCTAAACCCTAGGATTCGAGCAGCTTTTGCTAAGAAGGGTTCCTTTCAAGAGGCTCCATACAGCAGAACCGTCCTTTTAAGCGGGGCTCTTTTCAAGGGGTCCCACAATAGGTTGTGAACCTTCACACTACATCGTCATACTCTAAACCCTAGATCCCTAAACCCTAAATCCATCAGTCCTAAGCCCGAAACTTAGACCCCCAACCTATAGTAGGTAGTTGAAACCTAAAAACCATGTGTGCAGGTAGGTGGACTGGTAACTTAGGCACTCGGAGAGCAAAGCGGGCTTAAACCCGAAGCCCTAAGGAAATTCTGGGTAATTTAGACCCCACTATATAGCTATTTCGCTGCTACACCAAACCCTAAACCGTGCCGACCCCTCAATGTCGCCTGAAGCAATGGACTCTCCGGGAACGCCGGTGCAGCCAGAGCCGCCTCGATTCCTGAGTTACTGCACTAAAAAAGACATTATAAGGTTCGCAAGGGACCTAGCACGTACTATATTGACATTCTGCAGGCTTGAAAATGCTCTTCGAGGATTTAAAGTCTTGGGTATGGAAGGGCTTCAAAAACGGTCCATAGGGGCTCATGTGGGAGTTAGCAGGCTGTTATAAGGGCTGTCCTTAACGGATCAGAAGGTTTCGTATATATAGGGAGCCCGGGTAGCTATCTAGTCAAACTTAGGCATCATGACAATACCTGGCACAAACCACAAGCCTTGAAGCAGGCTACGGCCTGTTCCGCGTCGGCTGTTCATTGTACTACACCAGCAACCACCCTAACCTACCCTTATAACAGCCTCAGTAATAAACCCGCAAGTATAGATTTGAGAAAGATCGTACCGTAAAAACACAACGGTGCATGTTGAAATCTCATCTCGCACATGCCCGGCGACAAGATTGCCTGAATTCTTAAAGTTTACATCCGTGACAGACGGACAGGCGTCCTGCCGGTTGACGTTTGCAAAGGCTGGTCTGGAATTGTGTGCCGTCCTTTGCGTCCTAGACAACATCAAACACGTCCTGCAGCAGACCCCCAATAACGGGTCGCAGTGTACATTCTACTCATGTGCATTGTTCAAAAGCATCGCAATACCTGACAAATCCGCAAGCGTTAGAATGTAGTTAGTTAAATGACGAATGAAGATCGCGGACATGAACAATGGATAATGCTTTTCCTCAAAAAATCTTAAGTAGACCATGCTACAGATACCCGTGAGCGCTAGACCCACAATCCGAAACCTACTAACACAGACGCACGCGCCTGTTCTATGCGGATACGATGCAAGACTCATGCACGACTATCTGTCGGCACGAAGACCTGCGGAGCCCTATTGTTGCACAGTTCTCAGACTTTTCTCAGCAGTTAGTATGTAACCCGGAACAAAAACTGCCTCCAGAACAACCTTCGGAGCACATAACTTGATTCATTGCGTCTGATGTGTGCGTGTACTGCGGCAGCAATGCTCCGAAGTTGCGAACTGTGTCTGCGCAGTTACTTTACAATTTCCAAGCGCCATGTCACGACGTGCGGGTTGAAAGAAGTCTGTGGCCCGTACGATACGTACAAGAGCTTTGTGGTGTTGGGTGTATATGGAATCCTGCTGATCAACGCATACCCGAATGACAAACCTACATGCCCAGGCTCTTCGAAGAAAACATCTAAAACCAAAGCGGATGGAACTTGGACGAAGGCAGCTGTATTTCGGTCAACAGCACTTCGTGTTTCGACCATCAAGGGGACAGCAACAAATCCCAGTCAAAATTCCCAACACACTCTCTCCTTAATGCTTCTTGGGGGGATGCTCAGACATGAACTGTGGGCTTAGGGTTTAGGGTTTCAGGATTATGCCGGGGTTAGTGTGTAGGGCTTGCGGTTGAAAGTTCAATTTGGATTTGGGGTTTGGGCTTGGGGTTTCATTGGGGTTTGGGGTCCAATGTCTCATTAGACTTTCGGGTTTCAGGTTTGAGGTTTAAGATGTAAATCGGGAATTGAATTTAAGGTTTAATTGGGTTTTTGGTTTGAATACGGTTTAGGGTTCAGGGTCTCCCTAAACCCTAAACTCAAAATTGTGAATGGAGCTCGACCCCCACAAGCCTTCTGGCGCATGGAAACCCACCGAAAAGAAACCCTATGGATGGTTTTCTAAGTTGGGTTCCATGTAGGGTTCCTTATGGGGTTCTATAAGGTTTTCTTTCGGGTTTCCATCAGAGTAATATAAGGGTTGTGGGTAATTCTCTACATTAGGGTCCCTTTTCGGGCTCCTTACAGGGATCTACAGGGGCTTGTGTAGGGTTTCCATATGAGTATTATATGAGGGTTCTGTATGAGTAGTTCTCCAAATTATGGTCCCTTTTAGGGTTCCTTAACCGGATCTATACGGGTTTAGTGCTCTAATTTCGGGTCATTTTTCGGGTTCCTTCAAGGGATCTGTAAGGGTTTCTGTAGGGTTTCCATACGAGTACTATCACGGCTACGGGGGTAGTTCTCTAAGTTAGGGTCCCTTTCCGGGTGCCGCACCATCTTGGAGACCTGAAGAAGAGAACTACCCCCCATACTACTTGTCCGGTATCCGAGGGGACCCTACACCCTAAACCCTAATTTTGGGGATTACATGGGGAATATGGAAACCCAACAAGGGCAAAGGCTACTACTAAGATATACTTGAAGGTTCACTAAGTGCTTGCAAACCGGGCCCCTGTACCCTGAACCAAACCCTTAAACCTAATGCCTTGAGCCCTGAACTCCAAACCCAACTTAACCTTCAACCCTAAACCCTAAACCTCTTCACAAGGCCAAGTAATGAACGGTTTCAGCCCCCTTCCTGGTTGGCTTCTGTCGCTCAGGGGGCTTAAGGATTGGTGTTGCGGTGTGCCGTCCAGGGCCTGGGATTCTGTACCATGGAACCTTGTACGCGTGACTATGAGGGTTTGGGGTTTAGGGCGCAGAAGAGGGGCAGAATGGTTTTTAATATGGCTTTGGGGTATGGTAGTATAGTTGTAAAGGGACTGTAAGGGAATGTTGCTACTAGTTGCTCCGACCGCCATGTTACAGGGCTTGAGTTTAGAGCATGTCGACATATTAAGCTCCTGGCCCGCAGCTCCAAATCCTGAACCGTAGAGACGGAGCAAGTTTAAACTTCAAGCACTATGAACATCACAACCTGACTTTAAATCCTGAGGATTCGTCCCCGCGAAGCCCTGAACAGAAGTTACAAAATCATGAAATACATACTACAACATAAAACCAACCTGTTCTCTAGAAGCAATTCGACACAGCGCTCAGAGCCAGGAGGCTGCACGGCAGGAAGCTTGCACGGCTTTGGCTGACCTAGGGCGGGATAAGGGTCACAATCTGGATGATTCGGGCAGTTCGTGCAATGAACGCCCTCAGCTTAAAACTGTAAACCCCAAACCATACTCGACAGCCACGTGCATTCGCGAAGGGCTAAACGATCTAGAGAGTCGTAGGTGACTCTGGGGACTGGTGGAACACAGCCCCCATGGCTGCAGCTTTTTCGAACCTCGCCTTCGGTCACTGCAATGGAGCACCAGGCAAGGGCAGCATGGAACAAACACGAAGAAATCCCGCGGAAATAACAGTGACATGAAAGCCTCAATAGTTAAGAATAGCAATCCGCAGCGTACCTTATCATATTTAAACTCTGAGGATGCGCAAAAGCCTGTTCTAATTAGTAACGCCTCTAGCTACCACTATACAAGGGATACAAACAGGGCCAGGCTAGATTGCCAGAGAGTGGAGAGGCTGTGAAGCCCCGATTTATTGTAATGTTGAGGGGTTCTGGGTTCAAGTGGGTTCAAGGAAAAATCAGATGCAGAAACAGCCAGAGACGGTACTATACTGCTCGGCGGCAGGACTCGAAGCCCTGAACACTACATTCCAAATCCCTGTCACAGCCACTGCAAAAGCCTGAAAACGGTTTAGGGTTTAGCGTTTAGGCCCCAAAACTTTTCCTCATTCGACCTTTACAGAGCCAGGAAGCAAAGGAAGGTTGACGGCGAAAAGATGCCAGCATAGCAACTCAGACGGCCTTAGCTGCAGTTTAAAGGTTCATCGCTGAGGGTTTAACCCTAAGCCCTAAACCCTGAACCTTTAAGTTGAATATAAGTTAACCCTACACCCTTGTTTTTCAGCATGGGCTTGGATTGTGTGCCAGCGAACACACCTCAACAGCAGGGTCTTTTCGTACCCTAAACCCTTTGCAGCAGGCTTCTCTCGCCCGGATCTGCCGTCGCCGTGACCCTAAACCCTAGACCCTGAACCTTCAAGTAGGGCATAGGGCTCAGGAGTCTCAGCCGGAAGCGTTCCAGGTCTCAGCATGTGGGGTTCAGGCTCCAGAGGCTGCAGAAACTAGTGTAGTGCGGCCTTAGTAATTACTTGTATATTATTTTGGGGGGCCTCCTTATTATTACCATTATAGTATTATGCACCTTAAGACCTTAAGAATTACTTATATTATCTTGGGGGCTCCTTATTACCATTGTAGTATAATATGCCCCTAAACCCTATAAACCCTAAACCCTTATAGTAGCCCTTATAGAACGCTTTAAGGAACCCTTTCAAGGGACTCCAAAACCCTATTAAACCCTAAACCCTAAACCCTAAACCCCTAAATCCCTAAACCCTAAACCCTCTAACTATTAATTAAGGCCCTTATCCGAGACCCGGGCATGAAGATGCACTGTGCCGCGGTGCCAACCTCGCTGACCCAGGGCCTTGTGTGGCTTCGTCTTTCTCGCGTTTAGGGTTTAGGGTTCAGGGTTTAGGGTCTAGGGTTTAGGGTTTAGGGTCAAGGGCTTAGGCTTTAGGGTTTAGAGTTTAGATTGTCAGGCTGAATCTATCCTTTTTTCGTGTCTGTCGGCTTCTCATGGCTGGTTCAAGCTGTCGGCAGCGTTTTCCGGCTCTGATCCAGCTGCGTTCGTCCGCGGCCCCTTCTCGTCGACATCTCATGGTGCTGTCTTCATTGCAGCTGGAGCAGACGTCTGCGGCGCAGTGGCGATTGTAGTTCCTGTTTTGGTTTAACCAATTCTATATTAAGGATCCTAAAATGTAGCCCCAAAAAGGAACTACAATAGAGACTATAGGTTGGACTTGGAGGGCAGCAGTGCCGTTGACCCAGCAGAGTTTGCGTCAGGGCCTCCGACGACAAGAGACGGCAGTGACGGCAGGCCATGTGCCGTGCGAGTCAGAAGTCCCATCGATTTGCGGGCATTTTGGCGTTTTTCCTACGGGTTCTCGGAGGTCTTCTGGCCTGTGCTCCTGAAGACCCGTTTGTACTCCTGAGGACCGACCCTAAACCCTAAACCCT